TATTAAGGAATATCTGAGATGAATAGAAAAGTCTACTATTTCATAACAATGGGAAATACCTGTGGGAAGTCAAGACAAGTTCTACAATAATAAGTAAGGAGCCATTCTCAATTATTAATATCTTTTCTCTACTGTGTGGCAGCTCTGTCACAAAGAGGAACTTCTAGTGGCCTAGTGCTAAGGCGCTGTGGCAACAACTCTAAAGTAGGTAGTTCGAATCCACCAGCTGTTCCGCTAAAGAAAGGTAGAGACTCTTCTTCTGTATGATTTACTGCCTCTGAAAACACACTGGAGGGTCATCTATCAGTTGGTTCCTACTCGACGGCGCATAGCAACAATTACAAAGGATATAGGAAATTTTACTGTGGTGTTATCTTCATAAATGGACAACTTGCTTTCCTTTTTCAGGTAATACAGGTGAATTTTCTACTGGCATATGACTGTTTCTATGCAAACACAATTGCTAAAATACAAATAAAAAAATCTATAGTATCCAGACATGCCGCCTCATTACTTTTTCTCTGAAAATATCATACGTGGAAAAGTTAATGTTACCTAGCTTTGAGTTTGTGATTTGAGATTCTTAACAAATGATCCTTTGTTAAGGAACTAAATGATTTTATGATCAAATTCTTGACTTCCAGGATCCACTAAGTGATTCTTGTTCAATTTAGGCATTAATGACTAGGGAACAATCTTTACATATGGAAAAATTTTAAACTGTAACTAGTAGTTTAAAACAAGTGAAAACAAGTATATTTTATCAATGGTTCCACATTAAAAATACTTCTTCACAGGGACCTCCTCTTCACGTGTGATACTGATACTGTAAAACATTTAAGTATTCTCATATTCTTTTAATGGCCAATCTCCTTCCCTTCCTGCCAGTGGCATTAAACACAAGCGTCACTGAAATAAATTCAGGAATTTCTACAGTAATATTCGTTTCTAATTTTTCAAAGAGAACATGTTCTCTTTCCTAGGACTAATTAACTCAAATTAAAAGTGGATGGCATGCTTTTTGCATGACCTTAAAAAGATACAATCTCTATCAAAGGGCTGTCTCTCAATCATACCAATTTTTATCAACTTCAGTGGGAATTCTCCAGTCTCATATCCAATGAGCATGAAGCAATGAGACTCTCCACCTATTAAATTAGGCCACAGCTACCTGAAACAGGATTGCTGTATTTCCTGCAATCTAGCTGTGGAAATAAAATTCTTATTCCCATCTGCTATCACCTTTGTTTTGTTTTTTTTAATTTAGGTTGTTTATTTTTCATTTCAATGAACATCTACAGAGATTTTGGGATTCCATTCATTCATTGTTGCATCCTTCTCCCCGCACAAACCCCCCCCATTTGCTCCTAAGATATCATTTTAAACATGTACAATATAATATGTATTCGATTACACACTACTTAACTTATTCTTTCTATTGCATACAAGATTTTTTAAAAATATTAGCTAGTTTTTAAATTTCCAGCTATTCTTTAGACAATTAATATATTAACAAATGTTCCTAGCAACTGTAATTCTATTAAGTTTTCTTAGTGTCTAAGAAACAAAAAAAAGCTTCTGGCTATTTTTCAGGAGTTAGGACGTTTACATATCATTGTTTGTTGTTTTTGCTGTTGTTGTTAGGTGCCATCAAGTACAACTCATAGCAACTCCATGGCTGACAGACCTGAACCCTGCTCTATTCTGGGCCAGCCTCCTCACCTCTGACACACTTGAGCCCACTGTCAGAGTCACTGTCTCAATATAACTTCTTAGGATTCTTCCTGCTTCTTCCACCTTTCCAAGCATCATGTCCATTTCCAAGGGATGGTGTCCAAAAGTATAAGAGAAAAAGCCTCGCCATCTTTGCCTCCACAGAGCACTCTGGCTGCACTCTTCCCAAGACATACCTGTTTGTCCTTTTCGTTTTTTTCTTTTTTAATTATTTTCTTTTTAATTGATATTTTAACGAAAGTTTACAGAAAACTTGGATTTTCATTCATTCCTTGTTGCACATTTTCCTCCCTACCCTACTCCCTGTTCGTTTTTCTCTTTAAAAAGATTCTTTCACTGCTACACAATTTTCTTCCTTCCTCCTGCCTCCCAGTCCACTTTGCTATGCACATATTATTCTGGACTATTGTCCTTCAAAAAATACCTATTCTTCTCCTCTTTCTTTCCACACCAACCTGAATGCACCCAATCTTCTCTGTTTGTTTTTTTGGGATACCAAAGGATACTCAGTACTCATCTCCAAGACCACAACTCAAAGACATCATTTCTTCTTCTGTCATTCTTATACCATAACCAGCTCTCTCATTGGTAACAGGTGACTGAGAGGACCATGGCCTCAATCAAGCACACCTCAGTCTTCAAACTGACATCGTTGTGCTTAAGTATTATGGAGAGATCCCTGACAGCGGACTTCCCTCGTTCCCTGATTGCTGATACCAAAGGTGTTGACTATTGATCCAAGTAAGATTGACTCTCTTGACATCATAGTTACATCATAATGTAAATTACATAACGTAAGCTTTTGCCATAAAATCACTTTCTTCCAAGAAATGACTACCTTATAAAGTTGGAATTCTAAATCCTTTATTGTAACATTTAAATAATATTCACTCTAAAAATACATATAACATTATTTATCAATATGGCTGGTTACCCTAATAAATCAATAAAAATGTCCAACTTCATGTATCATTCCTTTAACAATGAGAGCAGAATAAGTAAGGAAAAAGACAGCAAAAAAGTGGGCCTTATAACCAGTGGCTTCCTCTCTTCTTCATTGCAATATCAAAACACAGGTAAAACACCCTTTAATGCAAAACCAGCTAGGTTTCTTGCCAAAGAGGAAATTATTTGCCTTCAAACAAAATTTAAACATTTCCATCAGCTATTATATGTACTGCTTATACTAAGTTGCCTATCAATAAATGGTTCACCCCACCCAAAACAACTAACAAAGATGACCTATTTTATCTCTAATTTTTTTTTCCATCAAGTGCCTTATGTGGAAGAGGAGGGCTAGACTGCAAGGCCAGCCCGAGATCTTTGGAATCTGCAGGAGTTAGTGATGGAGCAGATTTTGAACCAGTGTGCATGGCAGGGGCTGCTACTGGCAGTCCTTTCCACAGTCCGGCAGTGGTTCCTACTGGCCCAAGGACCGGGCAGGCCTGCCTTCTTTTGCAGTTAGCACACTAGTAACAGTACAATATCAAGCTACAATTTGAAATAGACGTGCATTAAATTTATATAATGACTGAGGGTTCACTGATGGGTATGGGTATGGGTATGGGTATGGGGGTGTGTGTGTGTGTGTTTTCTTGGAAGTCGCATCAACATTCTTCAAGTTATATTCCTCTTCAAGGCTCATCAAGAAATCCACACAAATACACGCACATTAAAATATGTATTGCAATGGGAAAATCTGCTGTTAGGGACTTCTCCAAAGTACTAAAGAGCAATGGTGTCTCTCTGGAGACTAAGGTGCATCTGATACAGGCCATGGCCTTTGCAATCATTTGTTATGCATCAGAAACTTGGACAATGACTAAGGAGAATATAAGGAGAACTGATGCCTTTGAGCTGTGGTGCTGGAGGAGAGTACTGAGGCTACCATTGACTGCTAGGAAAACAGAATTGATGCCTTTGAGCTGTGGTGCTGGAGGAGAGTATTGAGGGTACCATGGACTGCTAGGAAAACAAACCGATTCGCACTGAAGGGGCGACTCCTTGGAGGCAAGGATTCTGAGGCTCCATCTAACATACTTTGGACATGTTGTAAGGAGGAATCAGTCCTTGGAGAGGGACATCATGCTTGAGAGGGTGGAGGGACAGCGCAGGAGGGGAAGGCCCTCTATGAAGTGGACTGATTCAGTGACTGGAGTAATTAGGATGGGTGTATTGGAGACAGTGCAATTGGCACAGGACAGAGCAGAGTTTAGGGCTGTTGTACATAGGGTCGTTATGAGTCGCAAGTGACTCGACGGCACAAAACAACAACAATGCATAACAAAGCTCCCACAGTGCCTGGAAAGCAAAGCTAACTGGCTAAACAATGCATTCACAAACACAGGCAGACATACAGGGTCAGACTCACGGACATACTCTTAGTTGTGTCTTCTGGCAAACAGCTATGCCATCTGTAGTCAGCTGTTCAAAACAGGTTAGTGATGGTGCTAATACTTTTAACAGAAAACCTGTCTCACTTGCAAGTACTGTGCAATCATATAATAAATAAAAAGATGTATTCAAGACCGTGAAGTGACTTTTAAGGAGTTAAAAAGTAAACTAAATGAGATTATGAGCATATATGGTCTAGGGTCTGGCAGGGTTTTACTCTGTTGTACACAAGGTCGCTAGGAGATGAAGCCAAGTTGACAGGCATTATAACAGGCAAGGTCAGTTGGCTCCAAATCACGGTGGGAAATAAGCCAAAATACGTATTTCTTTGGTACTAGCTCAATTATAATGACATATATGAAAAGAATGTTGGGATTGGCAAGCATGCATTGTCCTATGAAGAATATCCAAAGAGCACCATCTTTGAGGGTTCAAAGTCAATGTCAAGCATATAATGCAGTTACTTCTTAAAGCTAAGAGTTGAGAAGTATGGACAGGGTCTCTATCAATTCCACCCAATGCCTATGTTCAATCCTTAATACAATGCCTTTCAAGCAACTGATACGCAGTAGGTATCTCTGGAAAGAAATGAGGAATAAATATTAAAAAATAAATTGCAGTTAACTGGCCAGCCAACAAGAAAATGTTTGTTTAGATATACAAAATGACTTGTTTCTAATGTGGAGTTACTTCTTTGTCCCCTCAAAATAACTGTAAATCTGAAGCACACATTTTCAGACTACTGAATTATGTAAGAATACTTTGAGTATTTTTTTAAGAGTACTTTTATTTCAACCTATTGAAGGCTTTTTAAAAACTTTATGAAATGGGTAAACAGACTCATGTGTTTCCATCCAACCATCAACGATTACCTTTGTTACAAAAGTATTCCACTTCTTCACAGCTCAGATTTTCAGGGCCGAATTCTGTGGAAAAGCTTTCCTCCAACGGAAAGTCCCCTTTGGAGATGAGCTCTGTTTCCTCTGACGGACACTCCTCTTCTTCCTCTTCAATGGCATCTTCAAGCGGCCCTTGAAAAAGAATCAAGGAGACTGTACCGAAAATATCCAAGGAAAGAAGTGAAATCATATCCTTAAGTAGGGTCACTTTTACTGAAGGAGTAAAATATATTCTGTATAAAATTAATAAGGGGACGCAACAAGATGCTGTTCATCTATATTCACAAGAAAACAATGACCGAAGATGAGAAACAAAAAGAAGGCAAGTGTCACCCTCCAGGGCAACACATCTATCTATCTCCCAACCTTCCCCACCCCACCCCCAACCTCAAGCTTATTTTTTCATTCTCTTCTGAAGAGCAAAACTGTGCACTTTATGTTCATTTGTTAGAATTAACTGCCTGGTAAAGAGTACAAGTCTCTCTTACACCATTGTACAATTTTACCTGAGATTTTAATAAAGATTTAAAGTAATTGAATGCATTTTAATTGAACTGAGATTCTAATAAAGTCTATACTTTTAAAAATCCATCTTAAGAGTGGATACTGAGAAAAGATTTCATTATATGTGTTTGAGGCTTGAAGAAAAATTACATATTTCTCTCCCTGATGAAAGCATAACCCTATTCATAATTAATTGAATTTTTTTTCTGAAATGAAAAAGTAGTTTTCTAATGAAAAAAATGTAATTTGTATTTATGTGATACTTCCCTCAGTAATAAAAATACAACTGCCTGAGCTTGAATAAGAGTGAGGTACACTACATTAATGGACCTATTTTACTGAAAGGGAAGGGAGGGCTACAGTTGTTCTGAAGGATCTGAAGTGGATGACGAGGGAATACCACTCAGCTGATTGTGACTTTCTGTCGGCCTCTAAAGAATCAAAGTGTTCGGCTCATTTTGCTAAGGAGAAGCCCGCCTTGGCTCCTACAGAGGTAATATGACATTATATGCAAAGAACACAATTATGATGATTTGTACTAATTGTCACTCATGTCAGAAATCTCATCGGACAGGCAGAAGACATAAAAACACAGTCAGTGTCTTTCTCTAACTTCTTACAAACGATGGTTCAAGGTCAAAGGAAAAAAAAATCTTATAAATAATTTAGAACAGTGCCCATACCAATATTTATATCTTTTTGAGCGGGAAGTTTTGATATATTTCTATGCATACACAAATATAAAGGCAAAGAAGAATACATGCATACAGCAAAGTGACAGATCTGATGTTTTCCCAAAACCACATTTTCAGCACGTCCACACTGCTAGAATTTGTTGCATAATTAAGGGATCTCCAAGCAAGAAAAAGTATTATGACGTTTCTTTATTGTTTTTACTTATCCTTTTTCTTTTCCCTAAAAGAACAAATCCTAAGGAGGAGATGGAGACTCAAAACTCAAAACTCAGTACCATTGAGTCAGAACCTCCTTATAGATGACCCTCAAGTGGGTTTCTGAAGCTGTAAATCACACACAGGAGGAGACTGCGTATCTTTCTTCCTCGGAGCAGCTAGTGGATTTGAACCACCAGAGAGTCACAATATTTGGGCTAGCGCAAATTTGTACAAGCTAGGCCACCAGAGGCTGCACTAATTCCAAGCATTCTAATAATGTGTTTTCCTAGGAGTCCTTTCACTGAGCTGTTGCTGGCTTTAAAAGAACCATGGATTCTATTTTTGCAAACACTACACTCAAGCCATGAATAACATGTTAGTTTCAGCTTACTTTAATTATTTCAAATTTAAAATTTACAATCTATTATCTTTAAAACAACTATGTTGTACAGCAAGACATGCAAATAACACATAAAATAGACCATAAAGTATTTAAAGAATTTGAATATTTCATCTGGCTGTACTAATTCTGCAAGGTAATTGAATAGTTAATTATGAGTTTAAGAAAGAACATAATATTTCCCTTTTGTTTTTTAGTCTTTCAAATAAATTATAGTAACAAACCTAGCAAAATGTGAAGCCATCTCATTTTTCATGCATGTATCCTATCAAAGACCATTATTATGTGAGTTTTAAACATAATCCAGAAACAGGTGTGGGAGTTACTATGATTTTTTTGTTTTACAAATATGAAATAAAGGCCAGATTATTAGTTAACCAGAGTAACATTACATGCTATTAAGTAGAAAAGAGCATGTGAATACTTCTAATTATATCCTAGAAAACTTTTGTAAATACCATATTGTTATGCAAACCACTCTGTGGTAGTTATAAATGGCTTATTTTCAAAATAAAACCATAAAATATAGTTAACATCTAAACATAACTCTTCAGAAAATAGTACACTCCTAGTAATAAAATAATTTATTCCTAGATGCTGAAGGACCTAGTTTTTAAAAATTAAGAAATTTCTTGGTATTCTCAGATTACTAAATGTGAATGTAAAAAGATAATCATTTTATATTTTCACAAACTTAACAAGAAAATCATCACTCCATAACAGGATTATGAAGATCTTCTTGTAAACTTTGTAAGACTATAATACAGTAACTTACTAATACTTGCATATATAATTTATATCAACACTTAATCAAGAGAAATGACTTTAATGTCAGTTACAGCAGAAAGGACAAATAGGGATGGCTGCTTTTGGAATATAAATTTTGAATTTTACCAACAAAAAATAACTATAAAAATACATATTCTTTAAATAGTCATTTCAGCAATTTCCAAATGTATGGATTTTCTTTATAAAAGCTAGTATAAAAGGAATGTATGCACAATAAAAAAATGAAACAACAAAAATTATTTTAAAATACCTTTTAAAAATGACATTCTGAGCATATCTGCTTAGAAATTTCAACAGTATTTATTAAAGAAGCTATGTCATTGAGCAATTATTCACAGTACTTAATTGGCTCTTGTGTCAATAATACCAAATTCAAATTTAGTAATTTTCTAAAATGTTAAGCAGAAAAGCTCGTGTACAATAACACAAGCCCACCAACAATGACCTAAGCAAATCTTCAACTAGGTCATTTTATGATGGCATACACATTTATATGCCCAGACATGCACGCGCGCACACACGCACACACACACACACACACACACTCTTAGCTTAGCACTTGTAACAATGCTGACAGTCTTAATAGATAGTACTTTATCAATTCTTTAGCAAGTATTTGACAGTATTTTATATTCCAGAGATTTTTCACTTTAAGCACTAACATGGTACAACTCCAACAAGAAAATGTACAAATTAAATCTGTACAAATGCATTATAACTAAATATAAAAGAACCTACATGCAAAAGCAAACTTTCAAAGCACAACTAAAAAAAAATATTCTTGAGTTAACTGTTCACATTGCAACATCTCATGGACAATATTTTAAGAAGCCACTGCACCGAGATTCAATGATCAACTTACATTCTTCTTAAGGCACGTATCAGATTTATATAATTTAATGTGTTTTAAAAGGTGAAATTATGAACCATCCAAACAAGCTCTGGGGAAAGATTTCTCTTAAAATGCACATTATTTATGATTTAAAGCCAGACTTCTCTCTGCTCGGTTTCTTGCTCACTTTTTAAAGGAGCAAACCTAAAAGATAACAGGTGACCATAAACATGTTAAATGAGTAAGGGGCACATGACTCACAAGGTCAATTCATGAACAGCCCCAATGAAGGGAGAGGTTGATGGTCCCTCTGTGTATGGATTAGTGGGCACAGAAGTCCACTTCAGAAAAGCACCACACATAATTTGACACAAATAATAATATCTACTCAGAAAAGGCTCACAACTGAGCGCCATGTGCCCTCATGGAGAAAATTACTTCTGATTGAGGCCACTTGGCAGGCAAGTGTGAGGAAATCTGAATTTCAGCTCTTCAATTGCTTCTGATATACAGATATTTAAACACACTCACTGAAAAGAACAGCCTTAGCATTTATAAATAAAAATGTTTACCTTATTTTGCAGTGTTAATAATAAAATTACCTAAAAGTACAATGGTACTAAGTGTTGGGCATTTACAACTTTTAATGATCTCTCTGAATAAATAAGTGGGTGATCTTTAATATTTTATATGGGATGAATGATAAAAGTTTAAGGGGAGATTGTAGTGAGTATAAAGTAGGACCTTCACTTTTCAGAGAAGAGAGAAAATTATATACTTGGGGATCATTCTGACTTGGCCACAGGTATTCCTGTCCCTTGGTTATAAAACGGAAGATAGGAAGAAGGATTGTTCAGATGCAGGTCGGGTGATAGAGAAGGCTGGTCCAAGAGACAGTGAAACTTCTCACTTACAGCCAACAACTGCTACTTATAATGGCTGGGCATTAACATAAGTTGATTTTTTTTTTCTATTTTGTGGTTATTCAGATAATCAGAGTGGTACACCAAAACACACTGCGTTTGAGATTATGTAATCCCACTCTACAAACTACTAACATAAAAGATCTAGTTAGTTGAGTATTCTCCAGATTCATAGATCTACAAGAAAATTTGCACCATAACTTCAAAAGGGTAAGAAAATCCTGGGAATTCAACCCATAACCATTGGAGTAAGACCTAGGCTTTGCCAAAGAAAACCTGAGAGGAAAAAATGTGCAGAGAAACACATATATCATGACCCAGAATAACAAAGAGGAAAGATTCTAAAAAGCACTATAACGAGAAAGGGCAAGAAATTATAAAGATAAATAAAATAAGCATTAAGTTAAACACGTATCCTTTATTATACATCATCTTAAGGAATATAAGCTTTCTAGAGAGTGATGTCTTCAATAAATGTTGTCTTTCTACCTTCAGTGCCTACTAAATGGCAGGTTATCTTTGTTCAGATAAATGCAAAGTACTTCCGAATACAGAGCACTCAAGAAAGAAATTAAATTCTACAGGAATTAATATACATTCTCAAGTGTGAAATGGGAAAAAAGTGCCAAAATCTATGGTTCAGATGCAATAAACACACGTGTGCACACACAAAAAGGTTCTTTCTCTTAAGTGCTCACCGGCATTAATTTATTATACATTATTTTTATTTGTGGTTTACATGCCTTTGGGTTAAATAAAACAAATACTTTGTCATAACAGAACTCTACGGA